GAATCGAACCCAGGGTTTCACGCATGCAAGGCAAGCGCTCTACCACTGAGCCACCTTCCCAGCCCATCTATGAGATTCTTATCTCCAATTAACCACCAAAAAAATCAGAAATGGAGCTGTGACTCAAATGGTAGAGAGCTAACCTTGAGCACAAAAGCTCAGTGACAGCACCCAGGCCCTGAATTCAAGCTCCAGGAGTGCTCCCCCCTCCCCAGAACAAAAAGAAAAAAGAAGGCTGGGTGCTGGTGGCTCACACCTGTAATCCTAGTTACTCAAGAGGCTGAGATCTGAGGATCTCAATTCAAAGCTAGCACGGGCAGGAAAGTCCATGAGACTGTTATCTCCAATTAACCATCAGAAAATCAGAAGTGGCACTGTGGCTCAAGTGGTAGAGGGCTCACCTTGAGCTAAAGAGCTCAGGGACAGCCCAGGTCCCTAAAGAGCCCAGGTCCAGAGTTCAAGCCCCATAACCAACAGAAGAAGAAAAAAAGAAGAGAAGAAGCAGGTAGCTGGCTTTGAAACTAGTTTCAGAGGGGTCCAGCCTATGCAAGGAATGGAGGTTACTTGGGTTCTGTTGTGTTTGGATCACTGTGGAGGGACTTTTAGGTGAAACAGAGAAAGCTCACTAGGCTAGAATAGTGTTTAAAATGCCAGCTGTGTCCAATCAGGACAAATTAGCAAACCTCAGCGTTTCAGCATTTTCATCTGTGAATTGGAAAACTGGGCCCTATTTGGTAGTAAGTCTTTTTGTTGGTGGTGGTAGTGGTAGTCCTAGGGTCTTGGGGCCCAGGGACTGTCCTGACCTTTTGTGCTCAAGGCTAGCACTCTACCACTTTGAGCCACAACTCCACTTCCAGTTTTCAGATGGTTAGTTGGAGATGAGTCTCATGGCCTTTCCTTCCTGGCTTTAAACTGCCATCCTCAAATCTCGACCTCCTGAGTACTAGGATTACAAGTGTGAGCCACCAGTGCATACTGGGAAATGCTCCAGGACAGCAATGTTTCCAGCTCCCCTTTTCAGGATCTGTGTGTGTACGTAATCATACGCGTATGATTAATTGGAGAAAAGAATGTCAGCCAGAAATGAGTGGCTCATGCTTGTAATCCTAGCTACTCTAGAAGCTGAGATCTGAGGATTGCAGTTCCAAGCCAGCCAAGGAAGGAAAGTCAGTGAGACTCTTATCTCTAATTAACCACTCAAAAACTGGAAGTGGTTCTTTGGCTCAAAGTAGTAGAGCAAAAAAGCTCAAGAGACAGTGCCCAGGCCCTGAGTTCAAGCCCTACAACTGACAAAAAATAAAAAGTCACAGGTTTTCTTGCCTGGGCTGGCTTCAAACCATGATCCTCATATCTCAGCCTCCAGAATAGCTATGATTTAGAGGTGTAAGCCAATGGCACCCAGCACCCTTTCAGGATCTTAAATGAAATTATACAAGAGGGTTGGGGTGTAGCTCAGAGAGCATTTACCTAGCATGTGCAAAACCCCTGGGTTCAATCCCCAACCATGCAAAAATAATAAGCATAAAAATAGCCCTCTATCTAGTAAGTGATCTCCGTTTACTATTGAAGTTTGTTTAGATTTAGCTATGCTGGAAGTTTTTCCTCTGAAGGGATTCCAGTGGAAAGTTGGACCATCCCTGGAGCAGTTTGTCTTAGAGCACTGACCTCATCTGGTCACAGGAACGAGTCTCAGTTCTACTAGGGCTCTATGCTTCAGCTTCAACACCTTCCATATGATTCTCCAACCCTAAGAAGAGCAGGTCAGGTCCCCTCCAGGCCCTACTAGAGCTAGCCTCTGCCTCTAGACAACCTCTTTTACATGTACTCCACTTTGTGGACAAGGCTGAATTATTATATATCGCCCAGTAATGTAAATTAACCCCAGACACTTCCCCACATCTGTTTGTCCTAATTTCTTCCAGGCCCCTTTGAGAGGAATTGGGTGCCAACTTCTCCAGAAAGAGGTGATGATCTGCCTCTTATGTGCTTAGGCTTGGCCGTTTTAACTTCTGTCACCCTAGGACTTGGGCTTCCCTGAAGGTAACCACAGAACCCTAATAATTAGGACTAACAATTTACCAGTCTCAGCTCAGTGAGAGACCCCTGGAGGGCATCAGGCACCGGCGGCAGCAAGTGCCCTCTTGCCTTCAGAAAAAAAGGCGAGGGAAGTGAAAGCCCTGACTCTTGGCTCCTGGAGTTCTACGCCCCCTGTGGCCCCGCAGGGTCCCAGCAGCTGTTGCCGCCAACCTGCCCAGACCCGTCTAATTTGCATACCCATGGTGCACCACGATTTCACGGCTTCCGTGGTGCTTGAATTGCACCCCCTTCCATTCCCGAATGTGTTTCTTCACCACCATAGGCCATACCACCTTCTAGAACTTTACGTGGGTGTAAATCACAGCCTTGTAGTACCTGAAGGTCAGGCACCAAACAACCATAACTGTGTTAAGTGTTAGGTCTATAGGGAGAGTTGGGAGGAGGACAGCAACGACATACTCTGGTTTCTCTTCAGATCGTATAAATCTTTCGCCTTTTACTAAAGATTTCCGTGGAGAGGAACAATTCTGAGTCATTACTAATTTTTTGAGGCCTCGTCTTCAACGAGGCTCCACTTGTTGGTTAAAAAAAAGACGCATTTGGGGTTTACTACTAATCTGGGTTTGAAAGTGCAAAGGAAATGATTATAGCTTAAAGTAGGGGGATTCCAGCTTTCATGAAATGAAGTACTTTGGTGAGAATGGTGAAAGTGAGCAGCGCTATTCAGGGCAAGTGTCTCAGGTTTGTTTTCCTGTGTCATTTTCTGCGGTCAGCCACTTCTCTTGGGATCTAGGGAGTAGCAAACCATTTATCAGATCAGTGATTCAAGGGCCTCAGTCCATCCACCTGACCAATCCTGAGACGATGGAACTGCCTGCTGACTTGGGACTGTTTTAACTGCGCACACCTTCTCACTCGCTGTCTCCTACCTCAGAAAACTCATAATTTAAAAAAGTTTAAAAAGCTGGGAAGGTGGCTCAGTGGTAGAGCGCTTTCCTTGAGCTGAAGAGCTGAGGGACAGCGCCCAGGTCCAGAGTTCTGGCCCCATGACCAGACCCTCCCCCCCCCACAAAAAAAAAAGTTAAAAAATGTTAAGGAAGGGCTGGGAAGGTGGCTCAGTGGTAGAGCACTTGCCTTGCATGCCTGAGGCCCTGGGTTCGATTCCTCAGCACCACATAAGCAAAAAGAAAGCTGGAAGTGGCTCTGTGGCTCAAGTGGTAGAGCACTAGCCTTGAGCTGAAGAGCTGAGGGACGGTGCCCAGGACCAGAGTTCAGGCCCCACGACCGGACCAAAAAAAAAAGGAATTAAGTGGGATTTAATAAAGTCACTCGTTAAACATTTACAGAATTGCACACCTGTAATCCTAGCTACTCAGGCTAAGACTTGAGGCTAGAAGTTCAAAGCCTGCCAGGGCAAATACAAGAGATTCTTACCTCCAATTAACCTGCATAGAGCTGGAGGTAGAGGTGTGGCTCAGGTGGTAGAGCACCAGCCTTGAAAAAAAGCTGGGAGGAGATGGGAAGCTTCATAAGAAATGTACTCATTACCTTGCCCATGTAATTGTAACCCCTCTGTATGGTATTTTCACAATTAAAACAAAAAAAAAGCCAGCTGGGCGCCAGTGGCTCATGCCTGTAATCCTGGCTACTCAGGAGGCTGAGATCTGAGGATCACAGTTCAAAGTCAGCCCAGGCAGGGAAAGTCCCTGAGACTCTTATCTCCAATAAACCACTAGAAAACCGGAAGTGGTGTTGTGGCTCAAGCTGTAGAGCCCTCGCCCCACGACCGACAAAAAAGAAAAGCCAAGTAGGAAGTGCAAGGCTCTGGGTTCAAGCCTTAGTGCCAGAGAATAAAAAAAAATAGTAATACATTGTACTATGTGATAGGGCAATTCAGGTCTGCAGAAAGGTAACTATGGTCAAGAATGAATGAAGTGGTGGGAGACATCTTCAGTAACAAGAATATAAGTCTGAAACCTTAGACTCCCAAAGTCAAGGTTGCTACATATAGGAAGAATATGGGAGTTCTGAGTATCCTGAAATTAAAAACTGTTGTATTTTGAACTGGAAAGAGGAGGTGAAGTGAAAAAGACCAGTAAGTTAAGAAAGACTGAAAACTGAAAGGTCTCTTAGAAAGTCGAACTGGGGGCTGGGAATGTGGATTAGTGATAGAGTGTTTGCCTAGCATGCATGAAGCTCTGGGTTCGATTCCTCATAGACCATATAAACAAAAAAACGGAAGTGGTGCTGTGGCAAAAGCAGCTCAGACAGTGCCCAGGCCCCTGAGTTCAAGCCCCCAGGACAAGAAAGAAGAGAGACAGAGAGAAATAGAACTGGCCTCACAGCTATGAGGAAGCAATCCAAGATTCTGGGCGTGGGCACTCACACAAATGGGACACAGGGCAGACGGGAAGCTCCATTTGTACTGGGCCTGAGGTGTTCGTGGCACATTTAGGCAGAACTCTTTTTCCAACAGCCTGGTTTATTATTATAAACGTAGTCTGAGCTGCTCGGGGTCATCGGCGCAAACCCGCACCGGGAAGGACAGGCCCGGGGGCCGAGCGTAGACTGAGGGCAGAGAGTTAAGGACTCTGGCTTTCGGGTCTACAAGCCCTCACCCCAGTCCTCCCACGGCTCACACCCCAGGCTCCCCCCACAGGGCGTGGGGCCCCGCAGAGATAATCCTGCCCTCTGTGCCTGGCTCGCGGGGCATGCTGGGGCCGGAAGCCAGCTCTAGGAGCAGAGGATGTCGGGAGCTGTAGTCCGGGATGCTCAGCCAGGCAGGCTCGGAACTCTTCCTCACTTGGTTGTGGATTTGGGTCACTTGAGAGGCAAATCCAGAAAGCGGTGGTGCTCCCGGGGCAGAGTGCCCCTCCTCCGGCGGCACGGGGTGCTTCGGGCCACGGTTCCTCCCCGCAGGGCGTGGCACTTCCAGGCCTCCACGAGCTGCTCCACCTGCAGGGACCCGCCAGTCACTGTGCAGTCCCGCAGGACCCCCTCACCCCCAAAGATTCAGGGCAGGCGGGCCGTGGGACCCCCGTTCCCGGGGTTCCCAAGCTGCAGAGTGGATCTGAGCCTGGTTTCCCGCGTCCGCACCGGGATGAAGGGCTCCCGCCGGTTCTGCTCTTCCAGGGCGCTCAGCTCCGCGGGGGCCAGCAGTTCCAGTCTCAGTTCTCCAACGACAGGGGCCGCCACCTCGGCCACAGGCCGCTCCAGCACAGCCTGCAAACGCCAGCCCTGAACCTTGGCCAGGCGGGTACATCTGCCCCCTCCCCCGCGCCCCTTTTTGGCTGAGCTCTTGCAGCCTTGGGCTCCCCTAGGCCACACTCACCGCGCCCACGCGCGCCCAGCTGCGGACCGCCCGGACCAGCTCCGCCTCGTCCACACAGAGCCGGTCGCTGTGCAGCAGCGCCAGCAGTGCAGAGGCTGACAGCTCCAAGAAGCCCCGGGTCTGCAGCGCCTCCTGAGGGCGGGGGACGGTCGAGGGGGGGAGGGAAGAGGGGTCAGGGAGGAACACAAGAGGATTTGTGGGTTTAGGAGTATGAGAATGGGAAAGCATACCTGGCTGTGGGGCTCAATGAAAGCTATGCACCGTTCCTGCAATGGCCCCAAGCCAAAGGTGACAGCCACCTAGAAGAGGATTGAGAGTGGACAGGTTCCATTAGCTCAGTGCTCCAACACTGAGGACCACCAATTAAGTCTAGTCCTAGCCCTAGATGAGGAAGCTCACAGCACCTGTGACCTCCCAGGAAACGGAATCCCGCCAAAGTTGTGTTGACACATGAGGACCCACCTGAAGAACTGTCCTTCAAGCCCTATCCTGGGGCCAAAGCATGGCTGTTGAGTGCCACACTCCACCCTTACCCGCCCCCCAAAGGAGACCATTCCCACTTTTTTTGTTTGTGTCTTGTGCCAGCACTAGGGCTGGGCACTCTCCATTAGCTTTTTCACTCAAGGCCAGGGCTCTACCACTTCTGGCATTTTGCTGATTAATTGGAGATGAGAAGCTCACAGTTCCTGTTTCTGAATAATTGGGTTATAGGAGTGACCCGTGGCTCACTTGAGGCCCTGTGACCCTTGCTCCTGAACCTGATTTGGGTGATAGGCCCTGGATCCCACAGATCTGGGTACAGAATTTATTTATTTATTTTTGGGTCCAGTCGTGAGCTTGAACTCTGGGCTTGGGCGCTGTCCCTCAGCTCTTCAGCTCAAGGCTAGCGCTCTACCACTTGAGCCACAGCACCACTTCCCGCTTTTTTTTTTCTGCTTATGTGGTGCTGAGGAATCAAACTCGGGGCCTCATGCATGCAAGGCAAGCACTCTACCACTAAGCCACCTTCCCAGCCCTGGGTACAGAATTTATATGTCCACTTCATGTACCCAGATTTTCCCAGAGTAGATCTAAGCTCCTGGTACCTGAAACTCAGTACCACACACTAAAAGCCATACTCCTTACAGACCTGTTTAGCAACACTCACCTGCAAGGCCTCACAAACCAACTCCACGTCCAGCACCTTCACTACAAACTCCAGGCACAACTAAAGACAGAAATCAGAGCGCAGACTTAAAGCAGTGAGTCACCAGACTCCTAGCAGTCTCAGACCCATCCTGACTACAAGGCCTGACTAAGGACATGGAACTGTTAGGGCTTCAAATTTGGGGAACCCAGAGGACCTAGAGGCTAACAAAGTCAAACACAGAAATGCATCTTCTTTTGCTGCTTCTTCCTCCTCCTCCTCCTCCCCCTCCCCCCCTTCTTCTTCTTCCTCTTATTCCTTCTTATTTCTTCTATTGTTGTTGTTGGTCATGGGGCCTTAACTCTGGGCCTGGGCACTGTCCCTCAGCTCTTCAACTCAAGGCTAGCACTCTACCACTTGAGCCACAGCGCCACTTCCAGCTTTTTCTGCTTATGTGGTACTAAGGACTCAAACACAGGGCCTCATGCATACAAAGCAAGCACTCTACCACTGAGCCACATTCCCAGTCCAAAAATGCATCTTCTAGCATGTTTGCCTCTGATCAGCTCAGATGTTGTCATCCTAAATTTTAATTCCTTCCTCTCAGGATACTAATCTTTGTTCACTTCCTCCCACCTATTTTTTGGTGAGTGTGGAGGTGTGTGCACACGCACCAGCACGCATGCACGCATGTGTGCTGAGGCTTGAACTCAGAGCTTCATGCCCTTCCACTTGAGCCACACTTCCATTTCTGGCATTTTGATTAGCTGGAGATGAGTCGCTTGGATTTTTCTGTGTTGGATCTACCTTTGAGCTATCACCCTCAGATCTCAGCCTACTGAGTAGCTAGGATTACAGACAAGAACCACCAGCACCCAGCCACAGCCACTACCACCTCCTCCTCTTCTTTGTTTCCCCCTTTTTCTTTTAATTTGGCACTAGAGATCAAACCCTGGGCATCATGCATGCTAGGCAAGTGCTCTGCCATTGAATTATATTCCCAGCCTAAAGTTCAAATTTTTTTTATTCTGTTTTGTGGTGCTGTAAACTGTATAGGTCCTTACAGATGCTAAGCAAGCACTCTATCCCACTGAACTACACCCACAATCCTTTGTGTATTTTTTTTTTAATTCTTCTTCTTCAATGCTGGGGAATGAACCCAGGACTTTATACATGCTAGGCAAGCTCTCTACCATTGAGCTACATCCCCTGCCCCCAAATTCTCTCATGTTTTTTTTTTTTTTTTTGCCAGTCACCCCCGTACTTTTCTGTTTTCTTTTTTTTGCTCCGGTCCTGGGGCCTGAACTCTGGGCCAGGGCACTGTCCCTCAGATCTTCAGCTCAAGGCTAGCACTCTACCACTTGAGCCACAGCACCACTTCCAGCTTTTTTCTTTTTTGCTTATGTGGTGCTGAGGAATCGAACCCAGGGCCTCAGGCATGCAAGGCAAGTGCTCTACCACTGAGCCACCTTCCCAGCCCACCCCCGTACTTTTCTTTGTGTGCATACATGCTCCCCTCCAGGTTAGTGTGTGTGAAGCAGGGTGTGAACTGAGCCCACGAGAGGCATGGGAACCAAGCCAGAGCCTACCTCTCGCAGCTCCTCCAGCCCATACTCCAGGGCCACTGTCAGCACCTCCAGCACCTGATTGGGAGAGCAGAAGAGTTTCCCCCATCCCTAAGCCCACTGCATGATGGGAGGACACCTGCTTTTTCTACCCCCAGCATCTCCCATCCCCAGGCCGCTGCTTAGTGGGCTCACAGAATGGCGGTGCAGTGTGACACTGTTGGTATACAGGAACTCCAGCACTGCCAGGAAAGCCTCAGCTGGCACAGTGCTTAGCACCACAGGACTAGGTACCCCAGAATCCAGGTCTGTACTCAGAAGTCTCTGGAAGAAGTTGCATCTACAGGCCAGCAGGCACCGGTGGGCAAATACCTCCTGCCGCTCTTGACCAACTACAAAGCGAACATCACTGAGGGAGAGAGGTGGGGGAGAAGAATCCTGAGCCTAGAGGACAGCTTGGCCTTTCCTCCTGCCTACTATGACTTTGGGCCTTAGTTTCCTTGAGTATATGTAAGAAATGGGGCTTAGGAAGTAGCCCTGTGGCTCAAAGTGATAGAGTGCTAGCCTTGAGCAAAACACTCAGAGAATGATGCCCAGGGCCCAAGTTCAAGCTCCATGTTGGACAAAAAAGAAACAAAGATTTAGCCTTCCAGCAGGAGATCTGGACACTGGCCTGAATTCTAATCCCAGCTCTACCCTATACTAACGTAGTGATTTTCTATCTGTATCTTGGGCTTTTCACCCAGATCTCACTGGACGTGCTCATGCTTTATCAGGACTGATGCAAGATGGCTCCACCACCCTCCTCACTTGTCTTAGCCTTAAGGGTAGAGGAAACTTCTTGACTCCTCCCCTTCATCTGGCTGCCAACTCAGCTTTTTTCAGCCCTCCTCCAGAAAAATGTGGGTGTGGGATGCAGAGTGTGAAAACAGACTGCAAACAAACATAGAATGGTGATGTACTGAGGTCAGACCACATTTTCCATCTTCATGATCACTTCCGGCCCCAAACTCTGGGTGTCTAAACAAGGTAAGTCAGTAGAAGGGAGGAGGAAAAAATTGAGCTTCCTGGAGCCTCCTATAGTGTCCCATTCTTAAGACCTGGTGTTCCCACTACTCAGGCCAGACTCTGACACCCCCCCCTCCCGCTCTGCCTCCCGCTCCAAGAAGCAGGGTTGTGGGAACCACTGACCCTTGGAGAAGAGTAAAGCTTTGAGAGGATGGCATCCTGACTCATGCTGCCCCAGTAAACTCTAGCCCTGGTTTCAGACAGCACTAACATCTTACCCAATCAGTGGATGGTCAGCACCCTCGAACTACTTCCTGTCTAGCTCACTGGTTCAATCTCTTGAGCTTTCTTTCTCTTGTGAATCCTCAGTTCCCACAACAGTCATCTACTCCTCTGCCTCTTCAAGAAAGGAGGCCTTCACACTAGCTGAGTATTGTCTGGGGGAGAGTCAAGTTACATCCCACTCCTCTAGATCCAGAAATGAAGGCTCTTTGCCAGAATCAGAGAAGGACAGGCTTTGCCTGAACTCACACAGCAGCCCCAGATTACAGTTCCTTCTGTTCGCCACCTCTGGCACTCAGAATACCTTGGTCACTGAGTGGCCAGCAATCATCTTCTGTATTTGATGTCCCCATAGACTGAGTCCCCTGGTGAGGGAGGAGGCCAAGTCCTCACTCCCCACCTCCTCTTCACCCAGGGCCTCCCTGGTAGGAGACACAGGCCCAACAGAGCCAGCCAGGGAAAACTCACCAACCAGGCCCACTCCCTCACCTGTATCGGGGGTTGTTGACAAGGCTCCGGAGTGCTGTAGAAAAGGGCACAGCCTGTCCACGCACAGTCAGGCCTGCCGTCTCCATGGGTGAGATGGGGTAGGGGGAGAAAGACAGCGAAGGGGCCTAGGAGGCCCGCTGCGGCTTCTGGTCCGTGGAAGACTTGGCCAAGGCCCTAGAGCCAGCCTGGAGACCGGAGAGGGAGGGGCGGGGCCCACAAGGCCTATCTGTTGAGAAGCTAAAGTTTAGGGAGGAAAAGCAGCCCAGGTTGCTAAAGAAAGCGGTAGAGACCCATAGAGGAAGCCAGAGGCTCCCTGGATGGTGACGAACACAGAGGAGGTCCTGGGGAGGCCGATGCTGGATCAGCCTGTGGTCTTGGGAGAATCTGCTAGCAACAAGGCCCAGGCTGGGAGCCTGCCCAGGCAGCAGCTGGTAAGAAGCCTGTGGGTTTCCATGGAAACAGCAGGGCCTGGGGAAGCCCCGCCCATCTTCCAGTCCTAGGGCAAAACCTCTCAGCCTGTGGAAGGGCCCTAAGCTGAGTCTGAGAATCCTAGCACTGGCCCCTGTCTGTCCTAGATTCAGAGTTCAAGTCCCTTGTCTTCCTAAGTCCTTCCAACAGGCTCACAAGTTAAATCTTGGTTGGGGAGGCAGAGGAACCCACCTCGACAGGGAAAATGATAACCTCTTTGGGTGGTTTTCAGGGCTTAGATTTAGCTGTGCCATCCTTCCATGAAGAGGATCTTCAGCTCCTGAAGTGTCAGCTGTGTCATTGCCACTAGCATTCCTGAAATGCAATGCTGGAGGGGATACTCTGGGTACTGAGGCAAGCAGAAGATATGCCAGCTCAGGACAAGCCCCAGGGCACCAGGATCAGTCAGCAACCGTCAGGAGATTGGATTTGAATTCATTCCTGAATCACAGCAGTCTCAGGCCTGGCTCTCCTAAGCTGAGGCTAAGGGCCTCTCCTCCCCCCACCTACAGCCCAGAACCGAGGAAGTCATCCAAGCCCCACCCTAGCTCTGCCTGGAGCGGAAATCTGTCCTCCTAGAAGCTGACAGAGGAACCATGACGTGCTCTTTCCTGTGGGCCCAGACTCTGCATTCCTGAGCAGCCACCCCAGCAGCCTAAGGCTTTCCCCTACCCTAGGCCCCTGTGACTCACAAATGGCAAGTCATCTGGGCATTATGTACAGAAATGGACAACAGCTCAAGAGCCCTGAGACTGGATACCTTTCTGACCAGAGACCGTCTCTACATCCGCTTTCCTCTTCTTGTTGGTCCATAGTAACAGGTCTTTAAACTTCAGTCCCTCAAGGAGTTCTTGGGCTCCTTCTCCCCCATAACTAACTCAGGGGCATGCCACCTTTGACAGGTGCTCATAGTCGTAACAATCTGGTTATTCCAGAGTCGGGCCAGAGGGAGGAACTTTGGGAGGGAGGTGTCCTTGCCATGGCAGCCATGGCAACTGCACAACACAACCCTTCCCCGCCCACCCTGCAGTCAGGTCGGGCTGGGCCAGCCAGGTGAGAACTCAGAAGCCAAAGGCTACAGGTGACTCAGGTGCCTGAAGGAGTTTCGGGAGAAGAGAATAGCCATCCCACAAGTGATTCTGTAGGTGGAGTCAGAAGCCAGAGCTGAGAGTGGAAGGTGCCCCAGAGGTCATCTGGCCCCAGCTTCAGCCTGCTGCAGGAATCTTCTGAGTGAGTGCCTACCCAAAGCAGGTAGGATTGGAAGATGGCTGGATTCATTCAGTACTTCCTGGGTTAGAGGGATCTGTGGCGAAGGAGTTGGGTGCTGGTATCTCATGCCCATTCAAAGCTAGCCCTAGCCAAAAATTCCATCAGACTCCAATTAACCAGCACTAAGCTGGGAATAGAGCTTGTGCTAGCAAAGAGTAAAAAAAGTACAGAGACAGCACCCCACACCCAAAGACCAGAATAAACAAAAGATTAGAAACACCATTTCCAGCTAAGTGCCAGTGGCTCACGCCTGTAATCCTAGCTACTTGGGAGGCTGAGATCTGAGGATCATGGTTCAAAGCCAGCCCAGGCAGGAAAGTCCATGACATGCTTATCTCCAATAAACCACTCAGAAAAGTAAGTGGCGCTGTAGCTCAAGTGGTAGAGCACTAGCCTTGAGCTAAAGAGTTGAGGGACAGCGCTCAGGCCGAGTTCAAGCCCCGTGACCGACACACACACACACACAAAAAAAAAAGAAAAAAAAAGTGGCGGGGGGTGGGGGGGTGGAGGGTGGTATCACCAAGCAATACTTGAGTATAGAAAGAGCTGGCCAGTAAAATCCACTCAAAGTGTGGGTCTTTTAGCAGGCAAGTCCATGGCTGGCAGGTGTCTGTCTCCTGGACATCAGGAAGAAGAGAGTGCCAAAGACCCAGTGCCAAAACTACCATCAGTGCGGCCAAGAAGCCGCCTGCCCAGCATTGATGAGACCAGACAAACGGGTGTAGGCCCTGCCTCCCGCCGTGGTTCAGTGCTGGGCCTAACCATGTCCCTCTCACACCGAAACTCGCTGGCTGGATCAGGAACTGGTCACGGAGGTCGGCGACAGTCCTTGGGCCCAGTGCCCCCTCTTGGCTGGAGGGTCAGTTTCTCAGGCCTGCCCCTAGGGCCTGTCCGTCGAGCGGCACCTTCATACCGTACGGAGCCTGCACCAGAGGAGCGCTGGGAGACTGCACGTGCACAGCGTGTCCTGGAGGCAGTGTTGGATAAGAGGCTGTGCAACACCAGCTACTGTGGCTCAGAGGCCGGGCAGCTGGCACGGGAGCTGTGTGAGCAGGTGCGCCTGTGCCTGCGCGAGCTCAGCCCACCTCGCTACAAACTGGTGTGCAGCGTGGTGCTGGGGCCACGTGCAGGCCAGGGCGTGCACGTGGCCAGTCGTGCTCTGTGGGATGCAGCGCATGATGGGCTGGCCTCTGCTACCTTTACGAATGCCTCACTCTTCGCGGTGGCCACAGTCCACGGGCTGTACTATGAGTAAGCAGACCTCCACATTCTGTAAAATGGTTTATTATCCCAGGAGGAAGCCCCCCTGGGGCTCACATCCCAATAAATAAATGTTTGTCAATAAATAAAAGTGGTCCATAAATAATACCCCCTAGCTGGGGGCTAAGGCTCAGGCTTAACTCAGAGAAGGGGTAAGAACCAGCAAGGACAGGCTGCCCCTAACTCCAGTAAAGCTGGTCCCTGATTCCCTGGGGGGATTCATCCAGGAGCCCCCAGTGAGGCACCAAAGGGACAGGGAGGGCCACAAAGGCAAGGGCCAGAGTCTTGCAGGCACAGGCCTCAGTCTTGAGAGCTTGGGTCCCGGCCTGCTCTGCAGGTGAGGGTCTAGGCGGGACTGCGGTCACGGAGCAGGCGCAGAGCATAGCGGAGTCGCTGCCGCAGGTCTGGGGAGCAGCCCAGCTGCCGGAGGTGGGAGGCGAGGTAAGTACAAGCACTTCGATTCCGGGCCACAAAAGTCACAAGGAGGGGCTCCCAGCCACTGAGGATCAGCTTGGTGTGGTCCCCGTAAAAGTTCACCTGTGCACAAGAGGGCGACACTGTTCAAGCCTTGTGCTCTAGGCCCAAAAGACTTTCCCGGCATTCTGGACCTACCAGCCCTTCCATCCAGCTCCAGCATGGACTCTTACCTGGACAGTGCCATCGCTAAATATCATGAGTAGGGCTTGATCAGTCTTGACCCACTGCAGCAGCAAGGGTGGAGCAGGTACCTCTACCTCTTCCACACTGGGCAAATCTCCACCCTAGGAGCAAAGGCAGGGGCAGGTCACTGAGCTGACCAGAGTCGGACCCTGCCCCACTGACGAATCCCTTACCAATCAATCCTAGCTGTGTCCTCCCATCCCCACCAAAGGGGAATCGGAAAGGATCAGGATGTTGTTTGTTGTCCACATGGCTCCGCCCAAACCAAGTACCTTCATGAGGTGCTGTTCCATGTAGGAGGCAAAATACCGCAGGATGCCCAGCTGAGGCTGCAGGGCCCGGGGCACAGCACCCACAGAAAACGAAAAGTGCTTTGTACTGGTAGGGTTGTAGTGCACAGTCCTAGATGGGAGGGGGGCAGAAATCAGAGATAGCCCTGCACCCATGTTCCTCCCCTGGGAAACTCCAGGCCCCTGTACCCAGGAACATATTCCAAAGTGCAGCCTTGTGGGTTCTGGGCACCCCCACAACACTTACTTTCTATTGGCGGACAGGGCCATGTGTGTGCCATCGTTGAAGAGCACAGCTACACGACGGCTGGACAGTTGATAGCCAAAGCCAAACTTGTTGGAGTAGTCAACCCACTTGCTGACCCACACGAGAGGCTCTGGCTGTGCCAACGGAGCTGGGTTCTGGTCGGCTGTGTCCAGAAAGGAGGAAGTGATGACTTAACCCTTGGCCAAGGCCAAAGAATTCCCCATATCATCCCCATGTACCAGACCCCAGCCTCACCTGGGGGCATGAAGGCCACACAGTTTCTCAGAGCACAAAGGGCTGACTCTACCACCGTAGCCACAGTCAGACCCTCTTCAAACCCTGAAGGGAACAGGAGGCTGCTGAGATTTAGGAGGCATTAACCTCTCTACCTCAGACCTAGATCAAATCCCTCTTGTCTTCGCTCCAGTCCCTTGTGTCCACCCCAGCAACATTATAGCACTTGTAGTCCTCCCTGGCTCCTCACCATCTCCGGTGCTTGCCAGTGTCCCCCGGGGGGAGCTGTCTTCAGCTGCTGTCTCTACCAGGCTGACAGGGGCAGGACCAGAAGCTGCTGGATCCTAGAGGGTTTGGATAAGGAGAGCAAGTGAAATCGGTTCCACAATCCAAATCCTTGAAAGTCCAGGCCCAGCCTGGCCCTGGCTCCCAGGGCACCTCAGGTCAGTCCTAGCTAGCTAATGAGATGTAGCCAATTAGCCTACCACGAGGCTGGATGCTTCATCAGCCTTTTATCCCAGGCTTCCCTCAGCTGCTAGGGCAGGAATGAGTCAGAACAGTGCCACGTGAGCACTCACCTCGGGCTTGGCATCTGGATGGCCAATGGATGTGCGCATAAGGCCGCTCACCAAACACGACACTTCGTCCCGCTCCTCAGGGTGGCTCTTATCTGAACGTGAGGGAGAATAGAACCCTCAGTTTCCTGTCCAGCCCATGTGCCCCAGGGATGGCACAGACAGGCCTTCCCAAGCACTTGGGCAACAAACACCCCGCTCCAGGAGTTCACAGACGCCATGCTCCCATGCCTACAAAGTGGATATAATAAGCTGACCAACTGTGCATACCAGTACTGCAGTTTGAGTTCAGGGCCTGGGCACTGTCCCTGAGCTTTTTTGCTCAAGGCTAGTGCTCTACCACCTGAGCCACAGCTCCACTTCCAGGTTTTTGATAGTTAATTGGAGATAAGAGTCACGTGGACTTCCCTGCCCAGGCCAGCTTCAAGTTTTGATCCTCAGAGCTCAGCTTCCTGAGTAACTAGGATTCTAGGAATAAGCCACTGGTATTGGCTGACTGCCTGCTCTTATACCTCAGCCCACTAACACCCCAGACTCACTTTTGTTCTTCTTCCTGCCAAACAGGCTCTTGGTAACTTTGGCAAAGAGACTCCTGGCTGGGTTGGGAGGCGTCAGATCTGGGACTGTCACGCAGCTGCTCACAGGGAGCCGGTCAGGGGTATAGCCCTAAGGAGGAGAGCCGTGTCAACAGAGAGACCCCAAGGGTCCTTCCACCTGTCTCCATTTATCCTTCAGGAACATGCAGACTGAACTCAAATGTTAGGTGACAGACCTTGGTAAAGAAATCATGGCGCAGGATCTGCTCAATAGAGGGGCGGTCTCGGGGTGAGGCTCGTAGGATGGCAGCCAGGAGCTGCCGAGCGGGCAGCGAGAGGCTGGCAGGCAGAGTGTAGTGAACCTGTTTGATGCAGCGGTACGTTTCCTTCAGGTCAGCTGTCTCAAAAGGGGGGGTCCCACACAGCAGTGTGTACCTGTGGGCCAAGGATAGGGATCAGGAGCAATGAAGTAGGAAGAGCCTCCCACTAACCACCACCTGTCTGCCAATGACTGTGTCACTCACATGACGCAGCCCAGTGACCACACATCCGCCTCAGGGCCATGGCCCTGTCTCAGCAGCACTTCTGGAGCCACGTAGTTGGGAGTGCCACAGATGGTCCTGAAAGAGGGTAGGAAAAAGAGGGGAGGGTTCAGATCCAGCCCAGCAGCCCCCATTCCTGCCCCCACTGTGAGTCCAGACAAAGCAGCTGCCTGTCACCAAAGGCCAGAGAGCTCCTGCTTGTCTTGAGACAATGGATGCTGGGGATGGCAGCTGAGTCCCCGCCCACCCGCCTGGCCCAGCTGCTCAACTGCTCAGTAGGACAGGGGGAGGCCCTGACCCCCACGCAGCCCCCTCCTCCAAGGTCAATACAAAGGGTCCATGAACTGATCTCATCCCCGACTCCCCTCTGTCAGAAACTCATCAGGCTCCTTCCATGGTCTGTGCCAAACCCACACCAACACTAGCTCTCACACACACATCCCAAACACTCATCTGCCACACATGCTATCTGTGTTATACACACCCAGTCATAGTAGCCACAGTGGGGTCATCTTTTGTGTGTCTATGTGTGTGCACCAGCAGTACTGGGGCTTGAACTCAGACCCCCATACTCTTGCTTAGTTTACTCAAGGCTACAGCCCTACCATTTGAGCCAAATCTCCACTTCTGCCTTGTTGATGATTAATTCAAGATAATAGCCTCTTGTACTTGTCTGCCTGAACCTCAATCCTCAAATCTCAGCCTTATGAGTAGCTAGGACTATAGGTATGAGCCACCAGTGCCTGACCTCCCAGTAGTCTTCTTACACAGAAGATCAAGTTCTGTCATTCCTACACTTAAGTCTCCACACATGTACACACTGCCTGGCTCATGTTACCATCCCCATCCATACACAGGCTCAGTTATACAATTCAAAAGATTCTATACACATACAACCTTTTCCTCCCCTGCCCCCCAGGAACCTAGGTCACCTTCCCCATCTGTATCACATGTCGATCTTCCAGGGTTCCCACCAGACCCATCCTCTCAGCCAGACCCAGGAAGCCAGGCTGCCACCTCCACCTTCAAACACTCAAGCAAACAGCTCCTCACCCCTTCCCTATTTATCACATGTTCACATCAGGCAGTCACCTGCCTCCCACATACATACTGTCTGTCTGTCACATACAGATTGTGCCATCCCTCCCTCAAACACTCACTTCTTCCTCTGCTCTGGAGGCTCTAACCGAGCTGCCAGCCCAAAATCCCCCACCTTCAGTTCCATGTTCTCAGTGATGAAAAAATTTCCTAGACAGGGCCAGAGGGGTATATCAGATAACTCCCCTCCTCCCTCCCTCTTCTTCCCACCATATGCCCTTTCCCTCCCCCCCCCCTCCCCAGGCTGATCACCAGTCTTACCCAGCTTGAGGTCTCGGTGCAAAATGCCCCGCTGGTGCAAGTACTTGAGCCCTGAAAGGATCTGCCGCAGGTAGTAGCGTACTTCTGGTTCCAACAGGGTGTGCCGAGCCTTCCAGATGTGGGCCAGAGACTGCAGAGAGCCGCGGCCTCAAGCCCTGTTCACCCTCCCTGACCCTTCCCCGATAAGGGGCTGGCTTAAGAAGGCAGAGCCCCATGTCTGGGTCTTTGGACAGCTTCCCCCCACCCCCTTTTCTCTTCCCACCCCTGTCCCTCACCTTTCGGCTGCAGAGCTCCAGGAAAATGTAGATATTATCAGCATCCTCGAAGTGGTGAGAAAAGCGAACGATATGGCGGTGCTGGAGGTCTCGGTGCAACTCAATCTCGTTTAGGATCTGCGATGGGGGAGCCGGGTCGTTATCTTCGCGGGGCTCCCCAGCCACTCTCCCCTCCCCAACCCTCGCCCCTCTGCGCCCGGTCCCACCTTCTCGCGTTGATGCGGCTTGGCGACGCGGCTCTGCGGGATGACTTTGACGGCGTAGGCGCCGCCAGTCTCCGTGTCGGTGGCTTCGTAGCAGCGGGCGAA